CATGGATAAGTCTGTTAAGCCTTTTGTCTCAGTTTCCTCACAGACAAAAATGGAGATGCTAATGTGAGAAGAATAGAGCAAGTTTGTGAAGCGCTGCATGGTGTAGCTCTGTAGTTCTGTGCTTCAGATGCTCCCTGGTGCCTTTATCCTTTAGTTATCCATCCAGTGTTAGCAGGGAAAATTCAGATGAAAACAGACTTTCAGAGTTCAGCAGTCTTTGCATTTTGACTCCCCGCCTATATAACTTATTTTTGTTTATGACATCACAGGTTTGTTAAGCACTGAAACCACAAGTCTGAGTTGCCTGCCCTCCTCCCTCTGCTGTTCTAGCCATTCTTACTCAAGAAGTATTTATCGGATTCCTATATACTAGGCCTTAGTCTAAGTTTAGGTGCACAGCTAGGACCTAGATAAGCAGCACCTGCCTTTATGGAGTTCATGTTGTGGAGGGGAAGACAGAAAATAAGCGAACAAATCAGTGTGCAGTTTTTGGTAGCTCTAAATATTGTGATGAAAATAAAGCAGGGTAAGAGGCTCAAGAGTTGGGGTAGTCAAGGAAGAGTGATCTGTGGAGAGTTCTTTCCAGTAGAGAACTGCCCGAGGCTGGAGCTAGCCATGGGAGACCAGGAGAGTGTTCCAGACTGGCCTTGTGCTCCCATCCAGGTTCTGGCCTTGTCCTAGTGTCTTGCCATGTTCCATCTTACCATCTTCACATGATGGCTGAGGTCAGGCCCTTTTTATTTCTCTAGGTTCTCAGCTATGATTTCCCTTCCAACATTTCTGGTCATCTTTTAAAAATGTAAAGTAAAGGCTGGAATATAGCCCTGTGGAAAAAGAGATTTAGCATTGGCAACATGACCAAATTCAGACTCCCAAGCTACATGGGTTCCTTCTATTTTAGTGTCACTTATTGTATATGACAGTCTCTACCCCATCTTAAAAAAACCCCAAAACTTTATGGTGATTGGGAAATGTGGAGTATCTGAGTTTGGCAGAGGCTTTCTGTCCCACCTCAGGTGCGCTTTAACTCAGGAGTAAGGGCTCCAGATGCTCATGGCCACATAAAACTTCTAAATCACTAGCCTCTGGGTTCTTGTTTCTCTAATGTGAAGAATGGAATTCAGGGACAGTGGGAAGATGAGTTAAGAAATGGTTTTATTATAGATTAATGGGTAGAAGTTTAAGAGAAAGAAGGTAGAGCTCATGTATAGCAGGATAGGGTCCCTGGGAATTAGATACCATTGAACTGCTAGACTAGGTGCTTTTAATAGGAATTAGTGTAAAAGCTGAGATGAGCATGGGGAGGGGGATGAGTGGGTCAGTCTAATTGGTCCAATCAAGAGTATCCAGATGCAGCCTTTCAGTTTCCCCAGCATCCTCAGTGTAGCTTCCAGGAGGGTTTCTCATTTCCCATAAGAAATATAACAAGAAAGCAGACCTCTCTTCTGGCCTCCCAGGCCTGTGGCTAGGACAGAACCAAAGACATTCCTGTCTCCTGTCCTCAGATCAGAATCTTTGCAGGTTCCTGCCCTAAATTGCCTGACTGGTTTCTGTCTCCTGTTCCCACCAGTAGCTTATGATTCTGGTCCAAGTAGGAGCCCCTTGTACACTCATACACCTTTGGACACACACATGGCCTCATACATGCATGTCCCCTTGTACACACATACACCCTTGTGGATGCATATACCTTTGTACATGCACATGGCTTCATACATACATATGCCCTTATACACACATATACCTTTGTACACACACATACCTTTATACACACATACCCTTGTACATATAGATGCCCATGTACACACACAGCCTCATACATGCATGTCCTCTTGTAGACATACATTGTACACACATGGCCTTATACACACATATGCCCTTGTATGCACATATACCTTTGTACACACACATACCCTTGTACATACTGATGCCCGTGTACATACATATGCCCTTGTACACAGACATACCTTTGTACACACATATACATACACCTTTGTACCTACACATATACTTGTACACACATATACCTTTGTGTACATGTATACCTTTATATATGCACATACGCTTGTACACACAGATGACCTTGTACACACAAGCCCTTGTATGCACATATGCCCTGTATATACATATACCCTGTACGTACATGCCCGTGTACATTACATACACATGCCCTTGTACACACATATGCTTTTGTACACACATTCTTCTGTGCTTTTACAGCTTTGGTTCTCTCCCAAGAGCCTTCTACCTTCTCATTGGCACCTAGAAAACAACATTTCATTAATTAACTTTCTCAAATGCCACTTCATTGGGATATCTGCCTCCCCCGGTTTTCTGGACACTTTTTCAGGCTTACTTCACAGGATTTGTTTGTCCATCTGTTCATCTAGTTCCTGAGCTCCTTGGAGAGGAGATTATGTTGTCTATCTCTTGTCTTTTCAATATCCAGTATCATGTCCAGCACAGAACAGTAAGTTGTCACCTGTCATGCAGAATCTACAAGAACATTTAGGGTCAGATTTGTCATGGAGTTTTGAAGAGTTTCTCACAGTGTTCCATTATGCCTTAGACCCAGGTCAAATTGCAGCATCCTGTTATAAGGAGGATGAAGCAATGGAAACAGAAAATAGAAACATGTTAATATTGTTGTTACCGAGATGCAGTTTGGGGGAGCAAGTTAGCTCCAGATACATTCTTGCATTGTCTTTTTTAGTAACTCGATTTGCCTTTTGCAAAAGGGGAAGTATTGAAGTTGGTATTCTCATTCACAAAGTAGATTTAGCAATTTGTGCATCCTCCTGTATATTTTTCAGATTATCCTAAATTGAGTTGTCATTTTTTGTACTTTAAATTGCATTCAAGATATTTTGATGCCAAACTACAATAGGTCCATATAGATAGTGATTTATTTAAACAGTTCCTTATGGTTGACCATTTTGTAGTCTCATTAATTTTGTTAGCACAAATAATGGTTTGTTGAACCCATTAGTAAATTACTAGACTAACTGGCCAAAAGATAGGAACATTATTTTGGAAAAAGTGTATAAGTATTTTTCAAGATAGTTGTAAAGAGAATCTTGTTCTATAACATGGCACTTACCTATGAGTGAATTTTGAGATGTAATTGAGGACATAAAATCTAAGAGAAGATTAGAAGAGTTCAATCATGGGAATTAAGAGAACAAGAAGGAAGCTAAACAGACTGAAAACAAGAGTCCTAAATTCTGAGCTTGGGAAGGTGTGTGCTGTGACTATGATCTTCACACTGTTGTAGGTTCTCAAGTTCTGTAGCTGGATGTGGGGGTCTGAAAACAGGTCAGCATTTGTTTCTGCATTTCATTGGCTTGTTTGTGGGGTAATAGATCTTTCATATGAATAATTTAAAGCCTGAAAATTTAAAAACTATTGACTGGCAGGTTTCTATCTGTTAATTTTTAAATTTTTTTTTGTTTCTTATGATTTTGAGATGAGATTTTTGCTATGTACCTCAGGCTGTCCTTGACATTGTGATCCTTCTGCCTTAACCTCCTGAGTGTTGGGATTATAAGCACATGCCATCACACTTGGCCTCTACTACTACCATTTTGTTTTGCTTTTTGAGGCAGCGTTCCCCTGTAGCCCCAGCTGTCCTGGAACTTGCTGTGTAGACCAGACTGGCCTTGCTCTCACAGAGATCCACTTGCCTCTGCCTGCTGAATGCTGGGATTAAAGGCATGTGCCACCACACTTAGCCTCTACTACCACATTTGAATACATTGTTCTGGATGGATTGTTTTGTTCATGCCTCTGCTGTTCATTTTATGAAACTGATGTCCTAGCTAATTGTTGCCTCCATAAGGAAACCATCTTGCAAACTCAAATGAGAGAGCAGTTATCTTGTGAACTCAGTGTCCCTACTGTGTTTGCAGATACTTGAGACCTGGTTGAGATTGTGTGGGTAATGGACATCTTTTTCCAGTTTCCACTCTTGTGCAGGAGCTGTGAAGTATCTTTTAGGAAAATAGAAGTTAAGGCACCTTTAGGGCAGCTACTTCTTATTTTGCTTGTATTAGTGGTAGTGTCAACATGTACTAAAATGTGATGACCCACTCTCTTTTCTGGTAGAAAGAGAAGGATCTGCCTGGCATCAATGGAGAGAGGTGCCTGAGGCAGATTACATTGTCACCTCTCACAATAACGACAGGCATTAAAAAAAAAAAAGCCAGCAGATTTCTGTTTACCCATGGAAATGTTTGACACTTTTGGCTCCTGATGAAATGTATTGGACAGAAGGGAATAAGGAGCACTGTAGTAGAGCCAGGGCTGAATGAATAAGTCAAGCAGAAGCCTGGCTTCCTACAAGCAATTGAACACACATCCCAGCCGTGGTCCCATCTCATTCCAGAACCCTAAGACCTCAGACCCTCCAGGGAGCCCCACTTTCAGCTTGCTTTGTATTTAACATGTATTTATTTACAGTCAAGATTGCTGCCATGGCTTGTGTGAGCTAAATGCAGAGTTACTTGTAGAGTTGATAGCCTCTGAGATTACACCAGGGAAAATGAGAGATAATGTCCCACTCCTTTAGTGAAGGAAGATTTCCTCCTTAGTCATATATTGGCTTACTTAACTTCAAGGCCATTGTCAGAAGAACTCTTGGAAAAGGCTGTATTCATTTTGATGTGTTTGATATAATGCCAGAATTTTGCTACACAGTCATCGTATAGTTTAGCCCTTCTCCTTGAGATATCAAATAAATGGAGATAACAGAAAACCTTTGCATTCCGTATCTAGTGTTTCAGCAAAGGCTTTAGTTTGTCTCCTGCTTACTCTTATAACGAAGATTACAAGTAAAGGAAATTGTGTATGGGTTTCTTCTAGAATTTTAGGTATAAAGTGTGACTTACTTTAGCCATAATAAAATATTTTTATATGTATAGAATACTGATTTGAAGAAAAGGTAAAAAAAAAAGTTCTAAACAACAAAACAGTAGTTAATTTAGCATCCAGTTCTATCAATTACTGCCTCTCAGCTTTTGGGCTAAGATCAAGTGTAATGTCTGTTTTTATTAGTTTAATAATTCTACAAATTGTACATACAAACAAGTACACAAAAAATTGAAGGCATTAAACAGTTTAATTCCTTAATTTGAATCAGTTCAGGACAAAACAGTTTTTTCAGTCTATAGAGTGCTAGTCCTTCTAAATGTTAATGACAAACTAGCTGAAAAGCACCCCAAGAGAACAGTTTCCCTTCCAGTGACCATGGTGGGCCAGACGTAGCTCAGTGGTATAGTGCTGACCCAAAGTACACAAGGATCTGGGTTCAATCCTAAACCCCACACCTAAAAAACCAAAAAGGATATACAATAACTACAAAAAAATTTACGTAGGAATAAATTAATCAAAAAAGTGAAAGATCTCTACGTGAAAACTGCTAAACATTGATGAAAGAAATTGAAGAGGATACAGATAAATAGAAAGATATCCTGTGCTCATGGATAATAAGAATATTGTTAAAAGGTCCATACTACCTCAAGTGAACTATAAGTCAATGTACTCCCCATCAGTATACCAATGTCATTCACAGAATTAGAAAACACAATCTTCTAGTTTATATGGAAGTACAAAAGACCTCAAGCAGCCAAAGCAACCACAAGCAAAATGAACAAAACCAGGGCCTCTATCATTTGGTGTCCTTTTCTTTTTCTATCTAGTGAGTGAATGAGTGAGAAAGTGTGTGTGTGTGTGTGATATATATATGTATGTATTTCTTGGTCATTTGTACCATTTTTTGAAACTGTTGCTCAATTCATTTGCTTATTTATTGATTGAATTATTTGTTCTTAAAGTTCATTTTTTGTGTGTAGTATATGAACTTGTTAGTGTGGGTGTATGCATGTTTGCACGTGGGTGCGTGTGCATGTGGAGGTCAGAGGTTGATGTGTCCAATGTCTTTCTGTGATCACACTCCCCCTGTTATTTTTTTGGGACAGTCACTAACTTTGAAGCTTACCAAGTTGGCTAGCCTGGCTTGCCAAGGGGTTTCAGGGATCTGTCTGTCTCTCCCTCCTCCCCGCTCCAGTGTTAGGGTTCCAGGGGAGTACCATTGCTCTACATTTTACATAGGTTCTGGGGATTTACTCCGATCTCCATGCCTGCATGGCAGGCACGTTACTGACTGAGCCATCTCCCAGCCCTAAAGTTCTTTATATCTTGTGGACCTCAATCATCTTTTGGAGGAATAGCTGGCAGAGGCTTTTCTCCCGTTCAGTGGGCTGCCCTTTCTTTTGCTTTGCCGTGCAGAAACTTTAAATTTGCTTAGTTTCTTATTCTAACAAAGAAGACATTTTTGTGTAGGTGTCATGGCAGCAGTAGCATGTGACTCTCCGTATGTACAAAGTGCTCTTCTGAGAAGATGCTTTCATTTAATGGTGGCCCTGTGAATGAGGTTCTGTTCTTATCTCCACTTTACAGATGAAGTCACTTAGGACAGAGAGGTCTGTGGACTCAGAGGTGTCCAGCTAGTAGCTGGAAGGGTTGGGGTTTGAGTATAGGTGTCTGGTTCTTGAAACATGTTTACTATCTCACTGGGCAACCACTCTGTACCACGGTCAGTTAATTCCCTCTTCTGATCTGTGCTGTGTTGGAGTGAGTCAGGTTAGACTCCCAGCTTTGTGTCTTTGAGGTACACAACTGTCATTTGATCATTTCTGCACAGTCAACACTGAGTCCTCCCTAGAAACCTTGGAGTCATGCTGCCTTTTTCTTATCTTCTGTCTTCAGCTTGTTACTGGGTCTGCCTGTTGGTGACTCTTAAGTCAGACCCCGTCCTGCTCTTCTGTACTTGGTTCTACCTCAGTTTAGGTTATCTAAAAATTGCAAGTCTTCTGACAGGGTTTCTTTCTCCTACTGGGTTTCTCTTCTCCCAGCATCCTCTCCATTTTTTGCCACAACATCTTTTACTTTGCTGACAAAGGAATTTTTCATGTTTTTTGGTTCTGTTTTGACTTTGACTCAGTGCAGGTCTTAGCAGGTTTAATTAAATGTGTCCTTGTTGCTTATATGATAATATCCAAGCATCATAGGTTTCTAGCGCACTGTCTGATTTCACCAGCCTCTTCTCCTAGTGTAGGTCATCCCCTCCTCCTCGCTCCCATGCCAGCTGTTTTCTGCCTTGTTTTGTCTAGGATAAACCCTCCAACTTCCCTTCAAGTCTCATTCCCCTGAATCCTGCTCCTCCAATTTAGGTGGGGTGAAAATCCAGCTTCTTAAGAATTAGCTTCCATTTTTTATCTCTTCAAATCCTTCCCTTCTTTTGTGGCCAATTATTACTTCAGTTTGGGGTCATTTTGGGCATGACCATTGCATTGGTGTACTTTTTGTCTCTTTGATGCTGAATCCCTGGAAGATAGCCTGCACCTGTTTCTACAGAGTACAGTATGTAGCTTTTGACAGCAGAAGGCCTGGCATGCTACTTACAGATGCATAAATTGGTGTCCTGACAGTATGTTTTCAATTTTGCATGTTGGATATATTTTATTTATTTGTGTTTGAGAAGGAGATTCATGTATAAATATGTGTCTGTTCACACACACACACACACACACACACACACAGAGCATATATAAGAAAGACCGTTCTTTGCGGTGAGTCACCTATCCTCTTGATCAAGGAGGCCATGGAGACCCCATGAAATGGATTTGAACCAGTGTCAGGTCTACAAAGAGGAGGGTCAACACAGAGGGAACATTTCCTCCATGCTTCCAAGAGAAGCCAGTCATGGTCAAGCAGGACCTTTGACTTATCTTCACATAGATGGAACTGGTAAAAGAAAGGAGCCATGGGCTTCTTCCAGGCCCATGTGACCCCTGAGGAACAGATCATCAAATGGCCTTAAGAGTGAAAATAAATTGGTTTATATGGGCCAACTATATGGTCTTAAACACCCAAAAGGAAAGTATAACCAAAGACTAAAGGAGTCAATATAATTTTTTAAGAGTCCATGTGTATAGCTAAAGGCTACATAACAAGAAACAATGCCAGACAGGAGATACCTTCCTTTGAGTTGTTGGCCAGGGTGGCTCAAGAGACTCCCAGACAGTAACCCAGCATAGAACTGGGAAAATGAACAGCAGACCCCAATCTTATCTAAAGGAATATTGACAACTGATTGCTGCTAGATGAGGAAGAGCTGATTTTCCTAAAATAAAGAACTCTAGATAGACTGACTAGATTCAGTGGATGGACAAGCACTGGGGAATGGCTGGGGGTGCCGACAACACAGTGGACAGTTAATAGGGATGACAGAGTATATGGGCTCCAGTGTGTGTGGGCGCTATGAGAGGGTGCCATTTGGGAAGAGTGGGTATATAGATGAATAAGATTCTATGGGATGTTCTGTATGATATATGTACACACAGAAAAATCAACAAATTTAAAAAAAAAGACATACTTGAGGAGGAAGCATAAAAATTTACTTCATGTTAAATAGTAGAGGTGATAAACTTTACCCGTGAAATCTACCTGATGACTTTATATCCATACTCAGGTACCAAGGCTCTAACTGTAACCGACTGTGATGTTTGCACATGCAAATATCTAAGTGTTAGTAGCATTAAAAGTGAGTTTTTCAATATTATTATTTATTTTTTTAGAAGAAGCATATCATTACAGCTTTAATATGCTCAATAACAGTATCCAGAGCAAAGATACAGCTCTTTCAAAAGTGGCTATAAAATTTTTAGGGTTGCTGTTGAATTAATACAGTTATACAATATTGAACTCAGTATAAGCCCTGTAAGACATAAAATTGAATGAGTTTTTAACCTTTAAAAAGATCTCCAAGCTGTGCATGGTGGCACACTCCTTTAATCCCAGCACTCAGGAGGCAGAGGCAGGCGGATCTCTGTGAGTTCAAGGCCAGCCTGGTCTACATAGTGAGTGCCAGGACAGCTGGGGCTTCAGGGAGACCCTGTCTCAAAAAAAGACCAAAAAAAAAAAAATCTCCATTTCATTTTAAAATATATTGTTTCTTACAGAAAGACTCATGGTTTTTGCTACTAATGTAGGAAACTGCATGTTTTAAAATGAAATGGCAATCTTCTTTAAAAGGTAAAAACTCATTCAATTTTATATCTTATAGGGTTTATACTGAGTTCAATATTGTATAACTGTATTAATTCAATTGTGAACCTAAAAATTTACAGCCACTTTTGAAAGAGATGTACTCTTGCTCTGGAGTGTGTTACTGAATATGTTAAAGCTATAATGAAATGCTTCTTCTAATCATATGGTT